ACAGGTTTCGTATTCACAAACACTTACTATACTGCGTACATTGCACTGTGGACGTGGCACAATAGGAATTATTTCAAGTGCATCTTATACGATAGTCAAGGTTTGTGATCTAGTGTGCTGGTTAGAATCACCAAATGAGACGTTCACATTTTATCAGTCAATAAGCTCCTAAAGACAGATGCACGTGAGTCTGAAAGGATCTGTTTCGATTTCTGTGTACTATATATATGCATATTTTAATCAGTGCTCATAGTTGTGTTTCAGATTAGTCCAGTAAACCTCCATTTTAACTATTAATCATCTCACCTATAGCTGGTCGGGGCTTGCGTATAGTGAGTAGTTTAAGTGTTAGCATTTGTCTCAGACACCGAGTGTCATTACGGTTCCATGAAATGTTGCTTATTTACTGAAAATTAATTATAATTGAGTTGAAGTTACTCTGATAGATTTTCAACACACATAATACGCGAAAACATGAACTCACCATCATCATGCTCCTCTGATCTCACTCCTTCAAAACACACCAATGATAATAATAAGGTGAATATTATCAGTTTCATTTGTTCTATGATAAAGCTTTGAGACAAGTAATTAACCACGTCTACAACATAAACAATACACACAACACATTTGATTACCTGAGTCTGCTGTGGAAACTTCAGTATATTTTCAACTGCCAACTGGAATTACACAGAATTCACATTCAAATAGAAACACAACTCACGCTTTTATACACGTTGAGATTCGAAAATTCCGATATTTGATTCAATAGAAAAGATGACGAACAGAAAGTGTTTGTATTTGTCATAGTTCTTTCGAACTATCACTTTCTTTATCATATTCGAATTTCGATGTTTGTCAAATTATTGGTTTTTTATTGGCAGTCAATTGAAACTTGACATTTGACATTGTATTTGTCTTCTCGTATTAGACAGATCATGTATACTCATTTGTTGTGATTGTTAAACTTGTCTGAATTATTTTAGTTTGAGTGAACCGATCATATCACTGAAACATATGCGATTTAATTTACAAGGAAATTGATGGTGCCAATTGATGATAAATTTTCAAAGAACATTTAAGCATACATGATGTGAGTTGTTGATAAATAAATGAGGTCATATTTGTGCCAAATATCTAGTACAAGTTGTGTATACATGTAACAAGTGTCATGTAAATTACTGTCTGTAAACTGTGGCATTTATCATTTTTCATTGTCAATATGTGACAGCGAGATCACAGTCAATATATCGCTAGTTTTTATCACTTTTAAAATCGAATTTTACGTAGTATTTTATCAATGAACTATAACATATGATCAGTAGCTCCTTGGACGTCAATCTAGTTCAATACTACTGTAGTAAATAATCAAGTGACCTGGAAGATCTTAGCAGTTTACTGTAGAGTTTGGAAAAGTGTTGAAACTTGAATTCAACCTGCTTCCATCTTCCATTCACAAATACAAATAAACGGAACTATGCTAATCAACTTGTGAAAGAAATAGTCTTATAGCAAATAAACTGTCAAACTCACGCTTAGCGAAAACTAAGTTGTCCAGTGCCAGTCGGCGAGGTTTTGCCGTGACTGGGGGTCTGCAGGTGACGATTTGGCTTACCACATAAATAATCACCAGTTGAATCTCCTCGGTTTCGTTACTTTGGGGAATTTATCGAATATAACATGAAATAAATAGTAATGTAAAAAATATACATATTAATGATTCGGTACATATCTGTTTGCGCGTTAAAAACCATGGATTTGATATTCGACGAAGTATCGAATAACGCAGCCTACGTGAATCGAGTAGCGTTTCATAGTGCTGTGATGGATCGATGCCGAGTATGGCTATGGGAACATCAGAAGGGATGAACGTCCATAGATACTGTCGTCGGTTATTCAGGTTGATAGTTAGCTGTTGTGTATCGTAGGTAGGAATGACAGAGTCATTCGCAGCGCGTGGTCGAAGCATCGTAGCTTATGACTTACTGCTACCAAACGATACGACAGAAACTTGGGCACTTGTGGCCATCAAGTACCTAGCGTTAGTGCAAAAATTGAGCACGTAAAATAAACTAACAACCTGAAGTGACGGTGAGGAGACAGGTAAAAATGCCATGACCTGCACCTCGGAGTCTATTATTATAGCTATCTACCATTTCGAAAAGTTGTTGCAAGTATAAAATATATTAAAAACATTATTTATAGTATTGCAACATTATAAAAATGGTGGTAGATGAATAATAGACTCACAGTAATTGACTTCTTTTGAAGAAACCTCGGTCTCACCAATTTTAGTGAGCGAATCCAGATACCAGATTGACTATGCTCACCACTAAATGTTCCATGCGGTCGCGTGACGAAAAGCAGAACAAAATAAATCAATACTCCATGGTTTTATTGAAGGAGAACGTTGGCATTACATAGGGAGCAGCAAATAGAGAAACATGGCGGCAACGCTAAGAGAACGTTGCGCGCAAGAAGTAGTAGAAGTGTTTTTGGTACAGTTAAACAAAGCGAGTACAATAATGTTTACATTTCAAAAATCGCATTTTCTTCGTAGTAGCGTTCCACTACAATTTCATGAAAACTTGGTAGAGGATTCAGACGGAGAAGTTAAGTACCTTAAATCGTTTAATTTATTTTTTTTAATATAGAAGGTGAACTTCCTAACATATTTAATCGTAAATAGAAGGTGCATCACAAATTGTGTATCTAGTTTGACTATCTTGTTTCTGTGATACAATCGAAAGCGAATAGTAGCTTGGTGGAGGTTATTATACATAACGGATAAAATACTAAAGAAGTGCAGAGTACAGATTCTCTACCTCATAAAATTATCCATGTCATTTACTGGGTTAGTAAATGTTGGTTATTGCTGACCATGAGCAGATTCAATATCTAGTAGTCATTTTCCTAATACAGAAACGGTTTGGTTTGGTGGATGAAGTTCACTGGTCCTACATATTTATTGCTTCTGAGTCAGTAGATATCGTATGCTAAAGCCCCCTCCAGATACTGAGCCAACGTCTGAAGCCTTGGAATCCAAATGTTTGATGAAATTCAGTGATAATCTATCACTAGCTATACTCAGGCGTATTCTAGCACAGTGCAGTACAAACCGACGCCCTGTTAACTTGGAATATGAAAGCCGATTGTTGGTCTTCATGAATCACTGAAGTGATGCTGAAGGCATTGAGTCCTTAGACCATTTTGACAAGTAATGGTGGCGGTTTGTTGTAGTTTAGGTTCTAAGCATACATCATGGTGTATTGTGTGGAGTCAAGATTGACTATGATCATCACCGCAGAGCAATTGCCGAGTTAAATCTCTCCGTACGAGAAATATCAGAAGGAATGTTGTGATTGTAGTTAGGATATATTTGTTGGCGATCCCGTGGTATCGAGATAATACCAAGATTATGTCAAAGTTTACAGGCGAGACTACCGTGTGTATGTGAGCAGGCTCAAGGTCACATACAACGGAAAATGTATGTTTTTGTTACAGATAAACAAAGTGGTACAGTAAAACAATCACTAGTACAATTGGTTATAATAATGTTTCCGTTACATCAATTGCGTTCACTTCATAAAAGTAGCTCACTACAATAGCATAAAACTCTATTGCCTCTTTTCGAAACATTGGTGCGCACAGCGTTTAGTAATTGTATAAGTTCCATTCACCAATCATAAATTTATTCATGTAGTATCGGACCGGAAGTAAGAAGGAAGTAAAATGCCTTCCGAGTCGTTGCGAAGAGAGTTTAGATATTTTCTGTCTCGTTTATGCCAAACATTATTTTGAATACCAGCTGTAAACAACCGAGTAATGTATCTATAAATCACTAACACGGGTAGTAAAGTCTACCCTAGCTGAACGGGATTAGAGTAACATCTTCCAATATCCAATATCTTATTCATGAGCTGGTATAAACCAAATGATTTCCTTGCGCTGGAATTTTGTTCTTTCGGTATAGTTCCAGGTGTTTGGTAGTGTCCAATGGATAGGGGTCTAGCCATTCGACTGCCTGATTCTAGTCAGTTAGCAGTTGTTTGTGAGTTTATACGTCTTGTGATTTGACTGAATACGTTTTTTTGAAGGCAGTAGTGTTTCTGGATACCAACAGCTATCACATTAAACATTACAATCACACACAATTTCGTCACTCATACTGAGAAGACTGGAGCAGGCGCGGAAGATTGTATTATGCGAATTTACACTCTGAGTCAATTAAAAACGAAAACATTACATTGAACATTCTATTTGCACACCATCTTTGAGTCGTGACTTCCAACGCTCCATCCTTCTTCCATTCTTGTTGTTGCTTCCTTGCCTTCCTGTTGGTACTCCATTTACTTCTTGCTTTTGCTCCATTTGCTTTCCGTTTTCCTCTTCTGACCGTGAGACTGCTTTCACGTCCCTTATTATACTGCTTATATCGTTCGTATAAGTAGCACACACCACATTACTAGTCACATCTTCGAAGAATAACTTTAATCTTTCAAGATTGAAAAAGTTAAATTAGTAATTAACTCATAATGAGAGATTGAAATATTTTATGAAAATTAATTGGTCTACTTAATAATACAAAAGAAGACAATTATATCTTAAACAATACAATTACTTCGTCTATCTGTAATGAAAACTTTAATTAAAAATTTTATTTTATCAACTTACTGTTATTTTCTGTTTATTTTTTGATTGTTCGATTAGTACATGCAGATAGATTATTTTATAAGTACACATAAACAACAGAGTTTATTCTTATAAACATTCATAAACAATACTGGATACCATAGTATCAAGAGTAAAAGTACTATTAGTAAATTATTTTCTGGGAAAACATGGTAGCAACAATCATGTATGATGGTTAGTTGCTATGACATCTGTGGCATTCATCTAATTATCTATATAAATATATATATTTATACAACAGAAAAAACCGATTACATTTTTATCTGGTGAACATTTTAATTGAGAAAGGAATTTTATACATTATCATAATGAATGAAACTGGTATTCTGTCAAAATCTACCGAATTACCTAATACTAATGAAGAAATTACTAATGGTAAGAGTAAATAGATTTAATTAAAATTTTATTTGAGTTACAATCAAGCTGATTAGTTTATTGTGAATAGTAGAATTTTATTAGTAGTATAACATAATTTTTCGTTTTGATTGCACTGTTTTTCGGTTAAACACTTAAAAAAATAACAAGCATGGTGTTTTTTTATTGTATAAAATCTGTTTTGAAAATTTATTTATTCATAATTCAATTTTTATAAAAATTAGTTTACATTTATTTAGCAAAATAAAGGAGAAATTTAATAAATTGAATTTAAAAGTCAAGAACATGATATCGAACAGTTCACATATAAATTTCTCAGGGAAACATAAAGTTACGAAATCAGATAACAGAATATAATGAAGTTATATTAAACCTTAGGATGTGTACGTCATTCGAATAACTGTTTGTTGTTATGTAAAAGATAACGGCATCCATTGTTATACGTGATTTAGAACGATTTGGTAAAATAATACTCTCTCTCTTTTCGTAACTTGTTAGTAAGTAGTTATTGTGACGTGAAAAGATCAGTGCAATGCTCTCTTTTTAAAGGTGTATCAAATTTTTATCATACATACTATAAAAGGAGCATATCAAATGAGTAAATATCTTAGACAATTTTCAAAATCTTCAATCTTACTACTAATCTTACTTACATCATTAGGTGAATGATGATTAACCGGTATCATATTTATTTAGCCTTTAAATCTGATCGAATTCCAACAACTTAATACACTGAGTGACTGCTTGGTTTTGAAGTCAGTTAACATAAACTACTACATTTTCTTAATGGTGAAATTACCAATTTCCCAAAAGAATCATTTTGGTCATGATTTAGTAGAGTTCAGTTTATTATTACAGAATACATGAATGTTCAATAGTTTCGTATAGTAAATAGAATCAAATATTTAACATTATTTTCTCACAAATTTACTGTATTTGTTCAGAAAGTGGGAAGAAAAGTTCAACTTCAGGGAAAAGTACAACCAATAGAAAAACTGATCCGTTGAATACACCAAAACTACCGAATGAAGATAGAGAACGAAAATTGTCAGAGTCAGTAAAAAATAAAGTGCGTGGGACTGAATATATCACAAGTCGTGAACCGGAAATTGTATTCGTCGAGCAGTTGGACAATATTTATAGATGTGTGAATTGTAACATTGTATTACGTGTACCATTTAAATTTGAAGACTGTGGACATAGGTGTTGTTCTGGTTGTGTACCAGATATATTCAAGTAAGTTGAAATTTAAAATGAACAAATTCTCCGAATTCATGAATTTCGCTGATATGATATGAAGTCTAAGTACTATTCAAACATAACTATATGTCTTTGACCGTCTAAGCGTTAAATATTTACTGCAAAGTGTTTAGACGTAGCACTCAAATAAAAAAAAACAGACAGATACTTATCCGTATGCAGTTCATCACAAAAATAAATATGTGAAGGTATAGATTCATAAAAATTATACAAATTTACATTATGAATCATAGTGTATCAGTTTATCGTCATCAAGTTATTTGATGCTTACTGTGGCTTAAACTACATAAGTAAAATTTGATTCGATATTTCACTGTTAATCTAATACAAACTAGATAAGCATTTTGTACACTGAATTAAACGTTTCATTTATAGGATTCTGCATCATTTCGCTCTTGTTATTATTGTTAGAAAGTAGATCCTAGTCATTCAATCAAGATACAATTACTATCTTAAAATAACACGTTATATGCGATTAAGATATTTATCTCAAAATAAAATGAAATTGACTTTACGTTTCAATGGAAAATAATACAGTTGGCTTTGATTTGAATCTAGTTAAGTCTTGAAAGTAGATTCTTAAACTAAAGAACTTTGGTTTCAAACACCATTTCTAATTTTAACCGCTCAGTCAACTTCAGTGATTAAAACAGTGACATCAACCTAAGTGCGAATATACTACGCTTGACTGACATCAACACTCTGATTCCACTCAACTCAATCCTACACTTTCCATTGACGTGAAACCATACAACTGTTACACATTCAAATGTATATTTCATAAGTTGTTCAACTCACATATCATTCTGTCTGGAATATTCATACCTCATTGACCTACTTCCATACACATGGATTGTGATTGAAGATGAGAGGAAACTGGTGTGACAACTGACTGTTCATCGTGATTTCAAAATGAATAGGGATTGAATTGTTATGTTAATCAATGAGGTGTTTTAGTGAATAGATTGTGAATTATTGTGTTTTTCATGATTGTGAGGAGGATAAATAGATTTGATTGACGAATTCATCTATCGGACATCTCGGAACAGTGAATGAAACTATTGTTGTATGTGTTAGTGAGAGAGTTTGGAAACTACATTGAGTGGTTGGTGAATATGATGTTTTACAACAGTTAGATATCTCAAATAACTGAGTGGATGAAGATCACGAAATGATTTGAGATGTTTGTGTGGTGTATGAAAATTGTCTTGAATGTTGCCTGATGTTACTGGTATTTATATTTTGATGAGTGTGCAACGTCGTTGTAAAAAGCGGAATATGAAGGGAATAGACTGACGAAATAATTCACTTGTCTCGTTTCATTTCAATAGAGATTAGTTTTTGAAATGTGTTGAGCTCAATGAGAATTTCTTTATCATTAACACTTATACTGTTGATAGCTGTCAAATAACTAAAACCGATTCGGTGGTTATTTATCTTCAACTGCGCCACTATTCCTTTAAACATACGCTCAATAGTTGCTACTACTATCTCGTCAATTTAAAAACATGAAAGTTTAGATTGATAGGATGTTTTATTTCAACATTCACAGAACCACAAAATTCCAAAGTTGAAGCTTTTTAAGCCCTTTAAGCTTTTTTCTATCATGGGTTATTACGTTTACAGGCATTCACCCCCCAATTATATTTTAAACAAAGTTGTATTCTATACGAAGTTAAATTTATTGATATGTATCTAAAACATACTGATTTACATCATTTACTTATTTTTACAACAAAATTTTCATTTATGAAAGAGCCACTTCAAAATGTCCAGTAGATAAACAAAATTTAAAGAAAGATCGTGTTCATTTGGATAAAGCATTTCAAGAACACATGGATGGATTGAGTGTAAAATGTTCATATCATACGGAAGGATGTTTATGGACAGGAATTCTCGGTGAATTGGGTTATCATCTTAGTCAGTGTGAATACAGAATTGTTCTATGCCCAAATGAGTGTGGTGTGGAATTTCAGGTTAGTTTGTATGTAAATATTTTTGGAAATTGCTGTAAACTAGTTCTTTTATTTGGCCATGTTCTGAAGATGAAATAAACATAAATTGGCAGGTTTAGCAAAAATTACTGCTCTTATAGTTGTGCTTATTAGATAGGTTTAGAAATGAGAATTAGAGTAATTCAGATGTGATCTGATGGCACACAGTCGTAACTGAGGTTTTCATCGAAATTTATTTGTCATTTATCATTTGGGCCTACCTTAAATAATTGAACTGAGCAGTCCTGTTGAAAGTTTATACGGTAACTATTCATTTATATGCAGGTAAAATGTGGTCAGTAGGATAATGTGATGTATTTGCACTATAGACATTTCGAACAATCTGGTCACCTATTTACTTGTCAAGGCATTTTATATGAAGATTAATAAAAGGTCGATTAAATAAAAGTTCAAATAGACATAGGGTGATAATTGTAAATAAAGGAGAGAGAAAATTAACGTAATATGAAAAGAATAAGAAAGGGTAGGAAAATTGTCACATTAGCCTAGGCTTAAAGATTATCAAGGTAAATTCAAGGTTATGACAAATTGTTTCTGCACACATAAGGGGGGTTCTAATTTTCCAATAGCCAAGGCCTCCATAAACCTCAAAATTCGTCCTTCAACATTTCTATACAGTGTTTTGAAGGCTGTCTTGATGTCAGACTTATACCCTGTCTCGATTATGTGTTTTGCGATCGATGAACATGGTTTTCTATTTCCAACGCTAATCGGCTCATCTGACGTTAACTGATTTTGAAGCCACTTACCTTGGTAATCTTTAAGCCTAGGCTAATGTGACAATTTTCCTACCCTTTCTTATTCTTTTCATATTACGTTAATTTTCTCTCTCCTTTATTTACAATTATCACCCTATGTCTATTTGAACTTTTATTTAATTAGAACAACACATATAAGCGAACAATATTGTTTTCGATTAGATCGTCATCAGGCTTTACTCTAATATACATGAATATTTATATGAAAATGTTAAACCAATCAAGGCAATTTGAGTGATAATCACAATGAAATGAAAAAGATTACGTAACTACATCTAATAGGCAAAAGTTCAAGTGGATAATAGGAAAACAGGTGTACTGATAGTAGTAAGAAAATTTATAAAATATGATAACTAAAGTAGGTCAAGGGTGGATGAATAGAATTCAAATAATCATCAAAAAACGTTAAAAACATTACGTAATAAGCAAATATGTAAAAATAAAATGAAATAAAAAAAAAATCAAAAAATAATAAAAATATGTCAATCATTAGTTACGTCATATCCGGCCACGGAAGAGATAGGGGTGTCACGAATTTCTTCTGAACACATAAATTAGGGTTGAATGTACGTATTCCTATGGCTTCTGCAATGTGTAGGAGACGGGATCGAACTCCGTTGGGAAATGATGGAGGTATACGATAGATCACCCGAAAAGATCTAGATTTATCTACAATATGACCACTATCTACCAGGTGTGCTAAGATAGAACTGCGTATTGTTTTTGACTGACCCTTCGTAAACCATGCTGGGAGATGTTCACTCATTCGTTGGTTAAGTTGCCTGGAAGTACGCCCGATATAGCTATCTCCACATGAGCAGCTGAATTTGTAAATGCACATAGAGGAGGCCAGCTCAGGTAACTTATCTTTCGTTTGAGTAGACATCGCAGGTCGACTGGAGAAAGTCAATGCAAGTTTTGCAGCGTTGAATGTTCTGTTAATTACTCTTCTTAATCTGTCCTGCAGAGTATCGCAGGCCACATCTCCGTTGAATTGTAGCTTCATAAACAAAGGCTTCTTTCGGGCAGTCGAAACCACCGACTTATTTTTTTTTTATTTTTTTTTTACGGCAGACATATACTTCTTTAAGAATGCGCTTGGATAACCAATCTCGGTTAGTGAGCCGTTGATGAATTCCAGCTCCTGACTTACAGTATCCATTGAACATATCATATTTGCTCTGTAAGTGAGACATCTAACTAAATTTCTTTTGTAGCGGATAGGTGTAAAACTACAAAAGTGAGTGTATTGGCAAGCACTGGGATTTTTTCGATACACGCTTCTACTTAGTGTACCATCCTTTCGCCTACTTAGTGTGATGTCAAGGAAAGACAGTTTTTCATCATATTCTTCATCACCAGTGAACGTGATTGCCGGGTGTACATTGTTGAATTGTTCTAAAAGTTTTTCTTTCCTGGTGTCCTGATCTACAATGATGAATGTGTCATCGACATAACGGCAATATAGATCAAGTTTTTGAATAACTTCGTTAAGTGGTCCATTTTCTAGCTTTGCTAGAAAGAGATCAGCTAGAATCGGGCCTAGAGGTGAGCCCATGGCTATACCGTCTATCTGCCTATAATACTTGTTGTTGAATACGAAATGGACATTCATCGTGCATCTTAGGAGTAATTCCTTAAGGCAATCTTCGGGCAAGCCAATGTTGATTTGTTTTTCTTTAATTTGCTCGCATATGAAATCAATAGTCTCGAGGAGTGGTACGTTAGTGAACAACGAAACCACATCCAGTGAGATCATAATTTTCTTGCTAACATTCACACTTTCCACTTTGGAAGTGAACTCAAAAACATCTTTTACACTTCTTTGCACAACTGATTTATGTAAAGGCTCTAAAATTCGTACTAACCACTTCGCAATTTTGTGGTAAGGAGAATTGTACATATCAAGGACCGGGCGCAGAGGAAGACCCGATTTGTGGATTTTAGGCAAACCATATAGTCGTGGTGTATATGATCCAGTCGGTTTAATCGAGTCGTGAATTTCAGACGCAATTACTCCCTTTTTCTTCAGTTCTTTAAGCGAATTCGTCAGTTGTTTTTCCACTTTTTTATTGATGTCGTTATTACTGGTGACTTTCTGAAATTTGCTAGGATCATCTAGCATTCCTTCCATTTTAGCAATATAATCAGATTAATTCATCAGAACTATACCTCCCCCCCTTGTCTGGTTTGCTCATGATCAAAGTATCATCTTTTTTGAGTTTAGTTAGAGCCTGATGACGATCTAATCGAAAACAATATTGTTCGCTTATATGTGTTGTTCTAATTTTCACAATGGGAATCTTTAAAATTTTTATTTAATTGACCTTTTATTAATCTTGACAAGTAAATATGTGACCAGATTGTTCGAAATGTCTATAGCGCAAATACATCACATTTATCAGATCAATTACGTCTTCTCACTGTTCTATCAAAATTTATAAAAGGGACTAATTGTTTTAAAGTAAACAGAGTATTAACCTACACAAAGTGATTGCGTTTCATTTTTTCTTCAAAAATCTATTTAAAAGAGAAAATCTATAGAGGATCATATTAAAAATGAATGCCCAAAACGCATTAAACAATGCAAATTTTGCAATGTTAAATATACCGCTGAAAAAGAAACTGAACATATAAACACATGTCGAGAATATCCAGTACCATGTCCAAATAAATGTGAAAAAACAAAAATTCCAAGGAGTTTGATTACAGAACATTTAAAAAATGAATGTTCAAGACAATATGTACGTTGTCCTTTCAATGTTCATGGTTGTGAATTTCGTGGCCTTAAAAATAAAGTTGATACACATATGGCGCGATCACTGGCAGATCATTTAAATTTCCTCAACCTATCGGTACAACAAATGTCATTGTTAGTTGAAGCACAAGTAAGTAAAAAAGAAATTAGCAATATTTTGTTTTCAAACATTGAGACTGATTTCTTTGTTTGTTTTAAATTGAAGTTCTTATCGATTCTGAAGAATGTTTAATTCATATTATTCTTCTGAGTTTTTATAGTGGTTGCTTTTTGTGGAAAAGAAAAAAAACTCGTTTTCGTCTAATTTATTTAACAGTTACCTACACTAACAGATCAACCTTGTTAGTCAGTGCTAACAAGTTGAAAATTTTTATACTCAACAAGTTTTTCTTACTGATTTGTGAACAAATATAGTTCATCAGTATTTCTGGTTGGTAGAATTTGTGAGTCTCTGACGAATAAACAGTGATATTAGTTTTGAAGCAGTGGCTAGCTGATACATGATGAATAGTTACAATACCGATTGTAAATCATGCGGATGAGCAGATGTCTTTGGTAAAACAACACTTGCTGGAACACTTTCAATAAATTTTTGCCAGCATTGAAATCCAGGATGAGTATTTCGTTCAGTTCAGGGCTCATCAATTGAATGTTTATACAAGAACTAGAGCATTACTTGAAAATGTTAGTTTATTTGATATGATTGAGTCATTCATTAAATTGTACGATATTAATCCTCAATTATCTCTGATGAATATAGATTATGCAAGATGATGACGCTTTCATCTAAAAAAGAATACAATAGAATATGGAAAAAACTAATTATTATATCTAAGATAACCCGAGTAAGAATATGAATAACTATTGAGAAATTCATGACACTTATAAGTTTGACATTATATCTAAAACACGTATAAGTTAACTGTTCATTTAATAATAGAAACAATAGTATGTACATATAACGCGCAAAGAAACTGTATATTACTTATTTTTACTCCAAACATTCAAATATTATATATTAGGTGTCTAATAACTGATGAATAACATATTTGTAACAGTATTTAAAACTATGAGTTCAATAAATATTAGAATACTTTTAAATGAGGCCATAATTTATTAATATTCCTGTTTACCTATTTTTAGACAAAATCGTATGCAGAAATCCGTAATTTACTAGAATCTCAAATAAGCCGTATCACAGCGTTAGAACAATGTTTTGGAGCACCATTTCTTTGGAAAATCGATTCATACACTGAAAAATTGAATAATGCTAAATCTGGTAAACAAACAGCTCTATTCAGCTCTCCATTTTATACGCATCGATATGGATATCGAATGGCATTGTCTGTTGCATTATATGGTAATGGAGATGCACGAGGAAAATATATGTCAGTGTATGCTTGTCTTTTTCGTGGAGATCATGATTCATTACTACAATGGCCATTCTCACATCAGGTAACCTATGAAGCATGCATGCATTTTATCATGTTGGAAATGCTTGAGTTTATTGTTTAAAAGACTAATAGGATTTCCGGTTGATACTAAGACTAGAAATGTTATCGTGTAATGTATGTTTGTGAAAATTCTAATTTAGTCATAGTATTTTGGAAAATTCATTATCCTTCGAGGTGCAGGAGTCGTGGATGAACACTGTTGACGAGTCCCATAAAAGGACGAAACGGCCGTCTTTCAGTGCTTCCAGGTTTCCGATGGTGGTCTAACAATGACTGATTGATGATTTCAATGTGCAAAAGACTTTGACCTCCGTAACTCCAGTTGAAAATTATTGATAAATTCTCTGAAACGTTTCATCCATACAATTATAGGAGAACCCTTGTTGTCTTTGCATACAAATCTGAATCATTCATGTATAAAAATCGTCATATATTTTAGCCTTCTTACTTCACCATGTAACGCAGTATTCAGTAAGCTATTGATAAAACGATCTTTTCTGCTAAACACACGGAAATCGATTATTTCACGTGCTACATAAAATCTATGCATTAAAACATGACCGCTTGATACATTCAGCATTTCACAAATGACAATTGGGAATGCTCTAGTCACTTTACAAAAGAAATTCCATAGTATATTTTATATCTGAAAGATAAAAGTCTTAGTTTCGAGCTTTGCTCATTAACTGATTGGCTCGTTCATAAAACGTCCTTTTCAAACATCTTAAATCACGTTTTCACATGATAGAATTATTGTTGTGAAATCACAGAATACCTGAAATTATTACTGATCACCTCCTAATCTTTGTGACTTACAAAGAGATCAGTAAAAACAGTCAAGACAGTGTTTAAACCCAATATAAGTACGTTTGTCATAAACTAATGCATAAAGAAAATGAAACAGCTATCCAGTGCTTCCTAGTTTCTAGTGAATACTCAGCTAAGACGAGTAGTCCATAATAATGGCAATAAATATCAGTAAAGTCAAGGAACTAGTCATTTTTCAAATGATAAAATATCTTGCTCAGTATTATTTCGAAAAAATAATCAAATTAAACAGAGAACTAATGAAAAGAGTTTAAAAATAATTTTATTTGTTGAAATAATATTTTACGTATAAGACATTTTTACAAGTGATTAATTAAAATAATATTCATGAGTTTTAGTTTAGTCTTATATTATACATAAGTTATGCAAATCAGGAAGCGCACATTTAAATTCACTACCTAGACAACTGGAGAATCAAATATTATGACAAATTTTTGAAACAGAAAAGCATATTTATCGATTACAGAATAAATGACTGGAGCAGAACATGAAATTATCATCAGTGTGACCTTTCTGGATGTTGTCTTAGAATAGTCAAGGGCAAATTCTTACATTTGTAGAAACTTCGGTTAATTGCACATATAAATCCCTTTAACGTTTACAGAAATAATTTATTGTAAACGCTGGGTCTTCACTGTGATTCATTGATCCATTTTACAGTCAAGGAATGGCGTAACAGTTTCTTATTATTTTCATTTGGTAATGACATTTTTTATTGACAATTATCACTTCATACATAATTATATTTTCATTGGATTGATCTCTAACATCAGTAGTGTAGGCTTTTTCAATTAGAGTTATGGAGACTAGTGTTTCTTGCACATCGAAATCATCAATCGATCATTGTTAGACCACCATTAGAAACCTAGAAGCACTGAAAGACGGCCGTTTCGTCCTGACATGGGACTCATCAGCAGTTCGCATCCACACTCCTGCAGCTCACGAGATTCGAACCCGGGACCTTCGGTCTTGTGCGCGAACGCCTAACCTCTGGATCACTGGGCCGGCATCCAACAGTTTTATTGAATTTCATTGAAATTAAGAAAAACCTTGTTGAGTATATATGCAGTCAGACTGCTCGAAATAAGTAGCTCACATATACTACATTTTTTCAGACCAGTTGCTTTTTCTCAATATCATATCAGACTTTATTACACAGACTAGTTGTTTTGAATTCAAATAATAATTTATGTTAAAGATATTTTTTCAACTACGTTAGTACGATAAATTCTAAACAATTTATTTACTGAGATCTATTAAGTTGACAGAAAAATAAGAACACCAATGAAATTAATGTTTTATATTTCAAACGTAACATTTAATTGTGAATATGATTGTTTTAAAAAAAGTGTTTACATCTTATTAAATTTTAGCTGACATTTACTCTGATTGACCAAAATCCTGAGATCAATGCACGAAGACCAATTGATTATACCATTAAACCTAGTCTAACTGGTGATTATAATCAATTTCTTGGTAGACCAACTAATGAACGAAATTCATGTTTTGGAGCGCCACGTTTTGTTAAGTTAGAAGTTATGGAAATGTCAAATTACATATTGAATGATGAAATCTACTTAAAAGTGACAATGAATATGAGTCAGATAGTATCAATTTAATTGACGTGTTTATTTCTGAATCGTCGTTTGTTTTATTTGGTAGACTTATTGAATAATTGAATATTGAAAATTTTTGAATGATTTGATTTGATGAAAAGAAAAATTAGACTTTTATTTTTGTGGTGAATTATGATCAATGTTTTAAAATATTTTAAATTATTTGTCACCAGTAAATTAAAACGATTGTTTACTTATACAAGAGATGAGTCAATAAATTATCCGATTAAGTGAATTTTGTAATTATTTAAGATGATCAGAATATTATCAACTTACTGTTGACTGTTTACAATCGTAAAGAGAATATAGTCGCTTGACAGTGATTTACATGGAAAAGTTGTTATTTCAATTAAGCTCAAATGAATAGTACCATTATGTATTTTAGTTGAAAATACTCGTTGATTTTGAAGATGTTATTATTTATCGAAAATTTAAACTCATATTAATACAGTTCAACTGAATTCACTTGATTGATTTTAGGCTATGATGACTATCCGGAAAAAGAACAAATTCAGCCACTATAAACCTCTCATCCTAAAGAAATTTATGAACGAATATCCTAAAAAAAATTGAGAGCACTTTTCAACATTAAGCTAAATTCGTTGCATTACTATTACATCTGAGCCTTACGGTGCATAGTAACTAGAGAGGGGAGAAATGTTGAAGGGTTAAAGGATTATAGGATTGTAATTCGTATCTATCCAATAGGTAGAGCATTAGTTATTATAAAATTATATTTTAAGTTACTTTTACTTTTCAAGAAATAGTGAATAACATTAGATGCGCATCACTGATGAGTCTAATATCAGGACGAAATGGCTGTCTTCCAGTGCTTCCAGGTTTCCTATGGTGGTCTAACAATGATTGACTGATGATTTCAATGTACAATTAACACTAATGTCCATAACTCTAATTGAAAAATCGTAAAACGCGTTCACTAGTGACTAGCTTTGTGAGGAAATTCTCGGAGTTCTAGTGAGAAGAAGTGACCAGTGGAATTCAACTATGTCGGGTGTAGGCAGTAACTACCAAAACAAATGGATGAGGTCGCGCAAAATCTGTAGATTGATCAGAGTTAGACATTAACGTTGGATGCCGGCTCAGTGGTCCAGAGGTTAGGCGTTTGCGCGCAAGACCGAAGGCCCCGGGTTCGAGTCCTGTGAGGTGCACAGTCGTGGATGAGCACTGCTGATGAGTCTCCTACCAGGACGAAACGGCAATCTTTCAGTGCTTCCAGGTTTCCAATGGTGGTCTAACAATGATCGACTGATGATTTCAATGCGCAAAAATTAACATTAGAGTTAGAATGAATATCAGTCCTAATGATGTTTGAAGAGCTAAATCTTTAATCTTTAAAATAGGTCTTCAGATTTGGCCATATGCAAAAGTTTAATAATTAAATCATTCAACCTCATAGTTTACTATAAAACTATTATTTTTTAAAATGATAATCTAAATGAATTGAATCCGATCTATTATTAAGAGCAATGTCTACTGATTAGTAATATATCTTAAATAAACTATGATAAGAAGTATATTGTGTTTAAATATGTTCAAGGTTTGGCATGTATATTCGCGTAAAAATTATAAAAACTAAACACCTAAACCGATCAAAGTTAGACGAACCGTCTAAGGCGATGGACGATGGTCATGCAAAATCACAGATTGGTTGAACTGAGACATCGACATCGTTTTTTTCCGATTTAGTGGTCTAGAGTTTGAGGGTTTACGCGTCGAACTCCAGGTCACGAGCTGGATATCTGTGTTAAGAGTTTTGGATGTGCACTGATGAGCAGTTCCATAGTGGAATGAAATGGCCACTCAGTGCTTCCAGCATGCCAATTATTGTCTAACTTAGATCGATCCTGGATTTCATTGTAATTCAACAATTTCCATAACCCTATACTCACAATTAATGATTCAGAGAGTGTGTAACCAATGACTGAACATGTGAAGCATCAATTAACAATGGACATGAATAGAAGTTATAGCATTTATTTCACTATTAACGAGGGCTACTGTCTGGGCACTTATTTTTGTTAAGCATCAATAGTAAACTAAGATACACAATTCAACTGCCTGGTTTAACCCGATGAGTACCTTTCAGACACCGTGTTGAGTGAATTACTTGGCAAGTTAACATCACTTGAAACAGTAAAAATGAGATGTTCAACTAGAAAATAAGTGTCTAACCACTCATGTTCGAATGTACTCTACTGAAGCTGCATGGGTTTCTACATTTTCAAGAAGAGCCTTGAAGCCTTGGAATTATGATCCACCTATTATTGTAAAGCTGCCTTGACAGCAGTTTGAGGTGTTTGAGACACATGTTACGACATGAAATCACTGACAACTTGACACAGACATGATAACAGGTTTAGACAACCTGGTTGTAGTCCGAGTGCCAATAGTAACGATAATTAGGAATGAATTTATTTGACAAAATCTACAATCAAGGAAATCTGGCCAGTTAATTGTTTACAGACTGCATTTGTTGGACCAAGACGAAGTATTATTAAGAACGGCCATAACTTAGGATTCATTTGCAAACATCAGCGAAATAATCAGCCTGAAAAAGTCAAAACATCTAGTTCTGATTACATTGATCGCTTTTGACATATTCCATCAGTGAACCGCTTTTGATATGATCTAATTCGAATATTGAAACAGCCTAACCTACTATAAGCAGAAATGGATATATTACAGAATGAAATCAAAGATGATAGTTTCATCCTGCTCAGGAATCGGTAGATGGATGTTTCTACATCTCAGAGTTGATGTTCCCTCCGAAACTACAGAAAATATGGAGGCTACCAGCACAGAATAAACATATGCAAAATGTACAGAGCAATTGCAGTCCTAAACATCTATCGGAAGGTTCAAACAACCAGTACAAATGAATTACACCTACACATATATTTATCAGTAGTTTGAATAAAATGATAAATTCCACAATCAAATGCTTCCGATGGACATTGTATTTTATGAATGAAGTATTACTCACTACTAATTACCTATGTCATTGTGATTAATATTATTATTATTATTATCAATATAGGGATGAATATGAATAAGTAGAAATATCTAATATTTCATCATTGACATCCGCCTTCAGGAAAGATACTTCATATTATCATAACTGATGATATTTCCGTAGACATTTGTTAAATCAGTTGTTTGAAATATATTTATTCTCAATTATAACAATTTCGATTCATGTATGTATTCATCAATTGTGATATTGTCAATCATGTTCTATTACAAACTATCAAATATTCTCAATTCATAATCATAATTTATTATTATCACCTTCTTTGACACTTCCATGTACAAACATTCTCTCTTACATGTTCCATCTGTAACTTGTTGATTGAAACAAATTATTTTGAACACAGATCATGAAGTATTCATTGATATAATGTTTTCATATATACATTTCACAAATTCAACTCATTTATCGTCCGTGTGTTTGTATATTGAATATTGATAATATTTGTTTGACTTCTCTACTTACTATGTAATAAGTATGACAATGATTTCTAGTTGATAAGAGATGGAAATACCCGAAATCTCCACTGTACAAAATAAAACAAATTAGAATTATGATGTAATTTAACGAAAGGTTAATGATGATGTGAATTGGATAAATTGTATTTGCATCATGTGAATTGTTTCAACAGTCTGTCATAATGGTCACTACTACACAAAAATATATCTACTCTCATACGTAGCTAAGGATGGAGCATGATTCACTTGTGATTAGCACAACTATGTGGTTGATTTCATCGGATTGACTAAAGTAATATACAAATGGTGGAAAATACATTTTATCGTTTTGTGATTGTTTCATTCAATCATTTTGTGAAAGCCACTAACTGACAAAGATGATTCAGTTTCCAATGTTACCGCTAAATTAACTGTTCCTACATACTCATCCCAGTCATCCATATAGCCATCTTTCTTAAACTGATGAGAGGGTTGAAGAAACAATGCAGTTTCAGATCTAACGC